AAGTTAACTCCACCCCTTCATTCTTAAGTCTAAAGTTGACACCAAATTATGTAACTACCACACACCTTTCTTTGGAGTGAGCACAAATATGGATTTCTTCTTATTCATAGCCCAAATGTTTTGTCATGGGTGAGTGTATTAGGCTGAGTTCTCTAGAGAAGGAAAAGCAGTGACCATTGTATGTGCATATATGTAAATAAAAAGAGATTTACAGCAAGAAGTGGCTCACACAGCTGTATAAGTGGGGAAACCCAGTCTGGTTTAAGTCTGTGGGTTTGATGTAAGTTAAAGTCTTCTCCTAACTCCTGTAGTCACAGGGGCTGACGAACAGGAAGCAGAAAGACCATAGGCTGGTGGATACCTAGCTGAATAAATCCAAGATCAACCAAATGAATCCAAGGTTACTAGTAGGTGGAGGGCTTCTGAGCCATCTCAGAAGCCAACTCAGGGGTTCCACCAATCTCTATCGGTGGAATAGTATTCCACCATAATAATATTCTTTTTAATATTGTGACTTTTATTCCATACTTTCTCCATTCTCTACTCAGGACCACCCATTATGATGCCTTTCAGAGCCATGGCCAGTGGTAGCCAGGTCATCAGCTGGTTCTAGTCTTGAAGTCTGAAGGCTCTGGTTCACGTGGTACATTAATCATTTGAACTGATTATTTCATTGGATCTTTTATTTTATTTGCCCTTCTTTGCTTTGGATGAGAAGAGACCAATAGTTGCATCTTAGAGGATTACTCACAAGCTCTTAAGGTCCCAATCAGTACGCATCAAAATAGTAGGTAGAACACTTTCTTTGTGAACCATGCTGTCTCCATTGACTTTGATAATTTCTGAGACTTTTTTTCAAAGCTCCAAGGCCCAGCAGCTCATTCCCCAGAGTTGGTTATGGCTAAAAAGTGTTCATAGCTTGTCCCCTGTATGATCTACTAGATCTTTGGCTACATGATTGTGGTCCCATTTGCCTTCATGTGACAGGCCTATTTTTGGAAGAAGTTTTTCGTTAGGTCTTTGGGCTAGAGAGAGAGAGCTTCTTTTTCAACTTTTCAGCCCAGCGATATGCTTGATGAGAACATTTGCTTTCTCCAAGAAGGAGAAAATAGTACCAAACCAAACCATCTAATGTCTGTAAATCAGAATAAAACTGTTCTCCTCAGGGCTTTCTGTGGCTCTGAATTTATAAAAGTAGATCAGCTGGCCCAGGCCCTTCTTCTGAGGCGCCTCCTTCCAAAGAGGGAGGAGCCATCTAACCATGGGGGCCTGAAAGGAAAGCAGCTCTTGGAGCTGCAGGCTGCAGTAGAGGGCCGTGGGTGTGGCAAGAGAGGACAAGGGACTCTGAAGAGGTTGGTTGAGGGGTGCTCTGCAGTCGCCTGGACTTCAGCTTGCCTTCCTCTCCCTTATGTTACTCACCAATATGTGCTTAGTGCATTTTCTCTGGGGAAATGCTTCAAGGTTGATAAGATATAATACCAACAAGGCCTCATGAGAGGCATTTCTATGAAAACTACTGCATTTGACTAACTAAGGTAAAAGTCTTCCTCGGTCCATATCTAGCTTTCACATGCATATGACTCAAAACTCGCTTTGATTCCAACTGCCCCTTTAGGTTTCTGAGGTTGTAAATCTTTACAGGCGCAGAAAGCCTCATCTTTCTCCCAAGGAACACCTGATAGGTTTGAACTGCCAACCTCGCAGTTATCAGCAGTCCAATATGTAACCCACTATTTGAGACTTAAGAGTGAAGGGTTGGAGTCTGGCCTGTCATTCAGATTGGAGTTTGATGACCTCATTTGGAGGTGCTAAGGAGATAAAATAGCTCACTGGAGGCGGGACACAGGCTCACTCCCTGGAAGACATTGCATCTGACAAGACACATGGAGCTACACTAGTGCCCTGAGCTTGAGGAGCCACGTAGAGACCCCTGCCAGCGCTGAGATGCTTACACTGCCACTGGATCCACAAGACTTTCCACCCACTGGCCTGTGATCATCCTGCATTCGGCATCATTGCATGAGGTTTGTGCATCCGAAGAAAACTTTATAGATTGGTATCAGACATATGGAGTAATATCAGACTTATGGACTTGATCTGGACTGGGCTGGGATGTGTCCTCAATATTCAATTGCTCTTGTATAAAGACCTCTTTTTTATACACATATAAGTGTCTATGAATTTGTTTCTAGTCTACCTGAACTGACACATACCACCACCGGGGTACAAATGAAACAAGTTAAAACTATGGCTTGAATCAGAGGCACCTTCTTCCTCAGAGTGACATCTTGAAGAGGGAAGAATGAAGGAGAACTGATGAACTTGAATTATGATGTTGGCAAAGGACATTGAAATCAACACGGGCTGCCAAAAGAACCATCAAATCTACCATGGAAGAAGGAGAGCCAGCGTATTCCTTAAAGGTGAGAACGGGGAGACTTATCTCACAAATTTGGGTTATCAGGAGGGATCGGTCCCTGGAACTGGATAGCATGCTTGAGGAAGTAAAGGGTCGGCAAAAAAGAGGGAGACCCTCAACCAGCTAGACTGACAATGCTGACAGTGAGGCGCTCCAACACAGCATTGACTGCGAAGATAGCAGAGGACCAGCTGCATAGAGCGCTGCTGTGAGTCAGAACCAACCCAATGACCACCAACAGCAAGAACAAGGTCAAAAAGACCGTTTCCTAAATGTACTGTCCCCCAGATGAAAGCACTACCATAGTTCTAAGCTGTAGCAGGAATCAATAACTCGCAGGCCATTCCTAAACATAGGGAGGGCCAAGTGACAAGCACTACGTGTGCTCCCCTCCCCTGCCTCCTTCTGCTCTCCACTTAAAACTGCAGGTGCCCCTGCCTCGCTGCATCTTTCAGCATCAGGATATCTGCAGCCCAAACTATTCTTTGTCGAACAAAAAGCTCAGCAATATTCACAGTTAGAGTTGGCAGAGGTTTTACAAAGTACAGGCCTAATTTTAATTAGACTTGATTTCCAAAAAGTCCCCTTGTGTTTTTTAATTTGAGAGAACAAATATCTCTAATACTGAACTTAGGATGTGTTGGTGACCCCTCAATCCCCCATGCCAATGTCCTTTATAAATCCTGTGGGGTTTTGTTTTTTTTCATTTTGTTTTAACAAGGGTTGTATTCTTTGGGGAACTCTCTCTGAACTCATCAAGACTGGACACTGAGAGGAAGGGAGGAGTGGGAAGGGAGAGGGGAAATGAGGAGGGGGGGCCAGGGGCTTAGGTGGAGAGCAAATGTTTTGAGAGTGATGAGGGCAATGAATGTACAAAGGTGCTTTACACAATTGATGTATGTATGGATTTTATGAGCCCCTAATAAAATGATTTTTTTAAAAAAGACTGGACACAGAAATATAAACAATCTTTTTTTTATTTTTAACATCACACTTCCTCTCCAACTGTGAATCTGAAATGTGAATATATGAATGTAATAGTTCTGGAATAAGTATGCAGATTTATGAGGAATATAAATTTAGATTATATCATGGGACCCAACTAGGCCTTTCTTTGTGCCAGTGGGGATTGGTTAAAGTTAGAAGATAGTTTGGGGAAGATGTGGTTTCTAGCTAAAGTCATCTAAGCAGAGCTAGCCTTGTTTCTAAAATAGGGAAGATGGGAAGAAAAATCAAATCTTGAGGAGAAGTAGCTGGAAATTACAGCCAGGAGTGAAGCTTAGCATCTACCTCCCCACTGTTTGAAGATGGGCTTGTTTGTTTTTAAAACAGCTAACATAATTCAGCTGGAGGAGGCAGGAAGATTTTTCTATTCCTTGTTTCAGTAGAAATCGATGGATGTTAGCTTGTGTAATTGTCCCCTCCGCGTTTAGTACCTAAAATAAAATAACCCTCACCGCTTGCATTACTGAACGCATTTCTGCAGGCTTGGTGTCTAGGGCCAAACAAGTATTAATTAGATAATCCGAAGAGGGCTGCCTAGGGAGTCGAGGAGCAGTGCAGGCTGGGCTCTAACTTTGGATGCAGATAGCAATCAGGTGAACTAAGGGCTGTCCTGGAGGAGATGAGGACAATTGTAGTAACAGCTGCTGCACCAAGGGGTGGCCTTGGGGGTGGGTGGGAAGCCAGGCCTCAAAGCAGCGGGCGGCAGCAGTCTCAGGCCGGCTTCCGGTTGCAAAGGGGCAACCCAGGACTGCCAGGGAAGGGAAGCCTCTGCCTTGGACCGACCGCGAGGGTTGGGGACTGGCGAGACTGGGCAAGAGCTGGTCAGCTTGCCCGGCCAAGCCGGAGAAGCCGCGGGGCCACCACAGTGAGAAGTGAGATGGGGATGTTCTCGGAGCGCGCCGGCTCCTAGACCCTGGAGATGCTCCTGGCCCTGGTCAGCTCCTTTCCCCCCCTCTCCGACCCCCCATCTCACGCCGGCAGCCCCCGCCGCGGCAGAGCCAGCGAACCTGGCGAGCCCTTCGCGCTCGGGGCCAGGCCCTCGCTGCCCCTTTAAGCGTTCCCGAAACTTTCGCCGGTGGTAGCTGAGAAGCCTCGTCACATCCGTTGGCCGGGGCCGCCGGGCCGCCTTCCGAGGAAATTCGGGATTTGAGTTTCCCGGGGAAGAGGCGCGCCAGGCGACCAGCCCGAGGGGGCTGCAGAGGGGCGAGGGGTTCTCTGTGGGCTCCACGCCCGGCCGTGACCTTGGCCTTGGGGGCGGGGCCGGATCTCTGTGGGGCAGCCAGTGCCCGCCAGAGGGGGCAGCGGCTGAGAACTTGCTCAAGTTGGCGGTGCGGACAGGGGCCGGGCCGGGGCTGGCTCTGCGCTTGCAGCTCTCCTCGATCCTCCTCCTTAATCCTCCTCCTCTCCTGGAACCTCCTCCTTCTTTCGATCCCCGCCTCCTCCTCCCTCGCCCGCGCCGCTGCCCGCCGGCCCTGTGCGCTCCGCGCCTGCAGCCGCAGATCCCAGCAAGTCGCCGAGCCGCCGCTGCGGGACCGGACGGACCTGGACGCGCGCGCCCCCGGACCCCGCCGCTGGCATGGGCGCGCTGCTCCGGACGCTGCTGTTGCCGCTGCTGGCCCAGTGGCTCCGGCTGGCGGCCCCGGCGCTGGCCTCCGCACCCTTCACGCTGCCCCTCCGGGTGGCGGCGGCCGGGTGGCCTTCGCCCACGCCCGGGGCCAGGGTCGCCCCCCGGCCCGCCGCCGCCGCGCCCCGGGCAGACGGCCTGGCTCTAGCCCTGGAGCCCGCTGGGGGCGCGGGCAACTTCTTGGCGGTGGTGGACAACCTGCAGGGAGATTCCGGGCGCGGCTACTACCTAGAGATGCTGATCGGGACCCCGCCGCAAAAGGTAAGTGCTGGACGTGCCGCTTGCTGTGCCGAGGCTCCTGGGGAGTCAGTGCACCTTAGCGAGGCCCCTAAAAGCAACCAGCCCTGTTCCCCTAGAGAAGAGAAAAGGGACGCAAAAGTGTGCTGGGGGAGCAGGGCGAGCGGGGCACTTGCTCTGGAGCACGCGGAGTGGTGCCACCCTCTTCCTTGGGCTGAGCCCAGAGGTACTGTGCAAGTGCTGACGAACTTGTGAGCACCCTCCCCCCAAGCCCTCTAGGCGAGGATGGACTGAGGGAAGACGCCCTTAACTTGCCCCTAAGGTGATTTCCTACCGGCGAGAGAGACACTTCCTTCCAGGGAGAGCAGGTGCCCGGCCCGGGGAAATCACCTCGTGAGGGGATCTCGCGTTTCTCTCCATGCTGTCTCATTGCTAAAGAGGCTGCTGGCCAGCATCCCAAGGCGCAGTCCCCTTTCAAAGGGATATTCTACATGAGCTCAGCAGAAAGTAACTCTGTTCCGAAGTGCCTGGCTCCAGGTTGCCACGGAGGGGAGCAGCGATGCCTGCGCCGCCGCCGCCCTGTGCTTTCTGGGACTTGGTGCCTCAGCTGGCTTTTTCCTGGTCCAGTTGCCCAGCCCCTCAGCACCGGCCAATGCGTGTACATAGGTGTGTGGGGAAAATAGTAAATGCCAAGTATATGTATATGTGTATGTATATGTGTGTGTGTGTATATATATACATATATATATATACATCTATGTGTATATATATTTGGATGGGCTGGTCTGCAAGGGACCAAGTGACAAAAGACCAAGTCCCAATGACAAGCTAATACTATCCATTCTAAATCAATTCAAATAACTGCTTTGTTTTCTCTTATTCAGATTTTCATGCAGTAGCACTTTTGTAGCAAGAAACTAATGTTTCCAGGTTCAGTCAGATTAATAAAAACTTTTAAATTGCCCAGAGTTATTCTTGATCTTTCTTCCTCTCAAACCACCTAATGTAAAGGAGCCCTGACGGCATAGTGGGTTTGTCTTGGTCCACTAACCCCAAGGTCAGCAGTTTGAATCCGGGAAGAAAGATGAGGCTTACTGCTGTGGTAACCTCCGAAACCCTATATTGGGTCGCTATGAGTCGAACTTGACTTAAGGGCAGTAGGTGGGACTTGAAGTTCTGCTTTCTAATCAATTGAATATACTGTGTGAAGATCCTTTTTATTTTTATCATTGTCATTTGGGTCTTAATTCAGCTATGGTCTCCTCATAAATAGAACATACTCATTACTTTTGTATAACTCTAATTAAATTATTCAAGGCTTCCTTAAGAGGAAAGGCATGCCATGCTAATTCTTGCAAAGAAAAGAAACTCTACCAGAAGGGGGAAAAAATCCCTTCTCTAGTTGTTTAATTAGTTTCCTTTAAAAAAAAAAGAAGAAGATACTTCACAAGTATATTCAAAGCTTGCATGCTAGTTGCCTTTAATCTAAGTCATGAGGATTCATGTGACCCAGCTTGACCATCTTCAAAGGTGGCCGATTGCTGGCGGGCAGAGGTGTGGAATGGGGCTGGTAGTCAGCTGAGGAAGCTTAACTTGGCCAGGAGCTGGTCAAGTGAATCAGCCCTGGTAACAGCGGCCATATGAAAACATGTGCTCTGGCCAGGGACATTCGTATTTCATGAGATGGTGAGCATCCACTTTGTTGGGGGGCATGTGGTCATCTTTGGGGGCAGTCTCCAATGACTCCTGTTTGAGAAATGTGTCTTTGACGCACACCAAAGATCATCTGAATGTTCTAATGGAGGTCAATTCTCTCTGTGCCAGGTGATTTTTGACCATTGAGGTGATGTGTCCTGGTGCCCTTGGTCACCAGAGACAAAGGGAAGGGGACAAACCAACAAGTCTTCTGGAAAGACCGAGAAATACTTGTCTTAGGTGCTCATGATAAAGCCTTTATCCATATGTGTAATGCTTTGCCTTTATTCAACCGGTCAATGACTTTTATTTTAACATGTTAAGATTTAATTAATAACAATGTACTGAGCACCTGTACTTAGATCTTTATCTTAGCCCATCAAGTGGTCCACTCAAAGTTCTTTCTCAGTTCAACATGGCCTTGTTGCCAGGGAGGGGATTTTTACCATCTGGATATAATTTGTGCCCCCTTGGTGAAGATCGAAATAGCCTGTACCTTCCTCCCAGCTTGATTTAGTGACAAACTGCTTTATATGGCAAAATCCATGCAAACAATCTTTCCCACTGCCCAAGGGCAACACAGGCGTGTGTTCCTGGTGCATTGGGGTGCGTGCCCTGGCTGTCTCTGCTGAGGGAGCTGTGAGGACTTGCTCAGCAGGCAGGTGAGGGCAGCCATCATGTGACTTCTGAACCTGGAGTGAGCGAGTGTCCCTGCTCTGTTAACCGCCAAGGGTCATGTCTATATTCTCTGCTGATCTTTGGAAGCCTAAAATAAAAATGCTTAGGTGGGGAGAAAAATGCCATTGTACATTCAAGCAAGAAATAAACCAAGAGATTTCTCAAGCAATGAGAGGATACAGATGAGAACCCTGGTGATTAGGCAATGGTTACGTGCTCAATTGTGAACTGACAAGTTAGAGGTCCCAACGCACTGCTGCGGTCTCTCCCTGGGAGAAGACCCCATGACCAGCTCCTCTAAAGACTACAGCCGAGGAGAACCTATAAGGCTGTTTTATTGACTGTCCTGAAGGCTCACTGTGAGTTGGAATTGACACAACAGCACACTGCCCCAGCAATGGTCTAGGAAGCATTGACGTTGCTTCCTAGGAGATAGAATTATCTCCTTCTGTGCGGGAAACCTGGCCTCTGTATCCCGCCAGCACACCTCGCAAGGGCTGCTGGGATGCTATGCAGGTTTGGGCAGAGCTTCCAGACCAAGATGAAAGACCTACTGGGGACAGACTAAGAGAAAAGGATCTACTTTTGAAAAGCAGTAAAAACCACACGAATCCCAGGGGTTCAAATCGTAGCCCGGCTTGGCGATGGCTCAGGGTCAGGCTCTGTTTTCTTCAGTTGTGCATGGAGTCTCCGCCATGAGTTGGGTCCGAGACACCCAGTTAGTTCACCACAACAGTAGATAATCTGAGGGTCCCCCAAGTGATAGGCGCAATCTATGCTCCCACCCAGAACCATCTGGGTCTGATCCCCTTTTGCTGATCAGGAAATGGAGGCTTGCAGAGATGAATGGCCTCCCAAAGGCCACAGGGGGAAAAAAGAGAGAGAGAGAGAGCCAGAAATTAAACACTGACCCCCAGACCTGAACCTGGCAGCTGCCCTTTCTCCCTCAAACCTCCTGATTTCTTTATGTTTTGCTTTAAAACTCTCCTTTCTAGCAAGAGATGCCTGAACCAAAATGCCAAAGTATTTGGCACTTCGTGTGTCACCCCAATTGGATGATCCTCCTCCTCCCAGGGGGCTCAAGGACACACACACACACACACACACACACAATCTAAACCTAATGCTATTATGTTGAATATGACTCATGGTGACCCCATGTATTATAGAACAGAACCATGCTCTATAGGGTCTTAACTACAAAGTCAGCAGTTTGAAACCACCAGCCGCTCTGCAGGAGAAAGAGGAGGCTTTCTACTCCCATACAGAGTTACAGTCTTGGAAACCCCCAGGGGCAGTTCTACCCTGTCCTGCAGCGTCTGAGTCAGAATTGACTCCAGGGGTGGTGAGGGTTTTTTTTGTTTGTTTGTTTGTTTTTCATTTTAATCTTTATGGCAACAGATTGCCAGGCTTTTCTTTCACGACACCAGGGGAGGCATGGTGTGAACCCCCCTGCAGGCTGAGAGTCTAGCACAAACTTGTCTCCCAGGGCCCTCATCCTGCAGTTCCCCCATCTCTTCATTCAGAGCAGAGCTTCAAGCATGAGGAACTGACGAGTCTGGTTTCTCTCGGGGCGGAGAAATTGGAAGAGGAGCCTCAGAGGAACCAGAGCCTCCGTGGTCATGGCCCTCCTGTGGGAAAGCAAAGTGCTACGAATGTGCTTTTTCCCTGAATTCTTTCATCAAGGAGTGGGGGCGCATTATTCTGCCTGGAGACTCGGTGAGGAGCCACAGGCAGCAGCCCAGCAGCCCGTGTGATATCCAGGAGCTGTGGGCAGGAGCTGTGGGCAGGCAGGAGTTGTGGGCAGGCAGGGCCGCATTGGCACGGACATGTGCACCAGGTTTTGTTTATTGAAACCATTATGTGGCTCCCCTCTCATGGTGGAGAACCAGCTTCTGAACCATGTACTTTGGTCTTCTTAATAATAATGATGGTCTTCTAAAGGGATTATAATTACAGCAATTTCCGTTATTTAAAAGAGAGAAACTTTTGTGTTAACGCAACTAAAGATACTAGAAGGTCCACAGGTACGTGTAGCCACTTCAAAAAAGGCTTTTGGGGTTCTGTTCAAAGATTTTCTTTCATCTTCACTCATAGGTAAAATGGACAGCAAACTATTTTCACATTTAAACACTTGAATGTGAAGTGCTGACACCCTAAGGGGAGCATATTTTAATCACAGCACATTTGCTGGATCATCAGCCTCTTAGTACACAGTTATTTGAAAGGTGGTGGGTTGAAAATACTTACCGGACGAGCACAACTTGAGTATGTATTTTTCAGAAGATTCTATTCAGTCACGCCAAGTACCGGAGACAGAGAAAAGGAAGGCAGTGGCAATGAGAATTCATGACGTGGGACAACCAGAGATGGCAAGTTATTAAGGACAGTGAACAAAGGAAGGTGTACTGGGGGTAAATGCCTAAGAAAGTCAATGCTAGCTTCCCACTCACTCAAACGCACTGCCATTGCATCGATGCTGAGTGACTCGACAGGACAGGGTAGAACTGCCCCTGTGTGTTTCTGAGATTGTAACTCTTTGGGGGAGTAGAAAGCCTCATCTTTCTCCCTTGGATGGGCTGGAGGTTTCAAAGTGCTCACCATAAGGTTAGCAGCCCAACACCTAACCACCAGGATCCCTGTAGTTTCCC